ACCGGCCAGAAGAGGAGGCAGGATCACCGGGACCCTCTACCCTGGGGACAAGACATTACACTAATTACTGTTTATGACCCCGAACTTGTTGCTTCCATGCAGCCGTTGGGCCCCTCCTAACAGTCCCTCTTTGAAGGCAAATCGTAAGATTTGAGTTTCGGGTTCACTTGTGACGGAACCGTTTGCATTCTTTTCCAGCTTGGTTGCCTAGAGGCTGAAGTTCTTGACCGTTAAGCACTGGGGTCCCTCGTGGAGAGGTTTAGGGATCCAAGCCACCCCGCTTCTTTGTTGTGGTATTCTGGTTGTGTTGATCCACAGTGCGTAGACCTGTGTTCTCTCCCAGCTCCAGTCTTCTTGACCTTGTTTTGACACTGGGTACAGGCTGCAGTGTCTCCTTCTTAACGTGGTCTTATGACACTCCCATGCAGGTGCGATCCGAGCCAGGTGTGGCGCCACACTTAGGACGGCGCCGGCCGCGCATGCCACCTGTGGCCTTTTCCGCCCCCGGTCTTCTTCAGTTGGTCATGACACCAGGCACAGACGAGTGAGGGAGATGCATCGAAAGTCTACTATCACTTAAAACTAATCTACACGCAAGCCAGACATCGCCAAAATTGACGGTCGAACTGCCAACTGTGTTAGTAGACCCAGATGACGTCGCCGATACAATATCATTCTGCATGACATTTCCCGCGGTGTATCTGTAGCAGGATATTCTAGTCAGTGGAAAGCCGCTCAACGTACATCCAGCCTCGTCGACGAACCTTGAGTGACCGCATAGCTGCCACTCTGGTCTTCACTCACAACCCATCTGCTCATGCAATACAGAGCGCTAGACCCACCACCCCTCGGGTAGTATAACAGCTAGCACTTGGACACAAATCTGTTTAAGCTGACTGTTTACATTCTAAATAAATGGCGCAAGTATGAGCCGACGACAGACAGTTTAGGTAGACTTGCTGAGCCTTGTAATCCGGGTAATTCGCTTGGTGCTTTGAGTGCATGGAAGATAATACTTGCAGAGATATCGATACCGAAGTGTTTATTTCTCTTTCTGCAATCAGGACAGATCGGTGCACGCCATCTTTGTGTTGGTTTTAAGGGAAGAACATGAGACCGAACAACAAAATGCTACAAAGGGCAGTACAGAAAGTTGATGGAAGAAACGCGTGCTCATACTGCCCACAATGAGTGCTTAACTGCAACGGAGTGTTCTGTGTTGAAACTTTTTAGGCAACAGCTAACAAAGCTTCAAGGATTGGGACCTAAAAGTTCAATCTTATTTAACATCGCGAGACAGAGAAAACGTCAAGTTTCTACAATATCACCTACTATCCACTTCCTCGTGTATAGCCGAGTGCAGGCAAATGGCCGAAATCGTGTATTAAAGTTTACTAAAGGCATGTCCAGATGTGTTAGCACGGTAACAGCAAAATGGAGGGTGCTTGAAGTGTTTTTCTCCAGTAGAAGACGGAGCATGCATTTTTAGGGCAAGATATTGGTTACTCTTGTTTAGTTATCGATCGCGCACCCAGTGGACTGTGATCTATCCGAATAAAGTCTCTTAGTGGCTCCAAATCAAAAAATTATGAGGCCAGGCTTCGCGATTCTGGCTGCAAAATTCATAGAATGGGTGTTACCCACTCAGTACTTACGGAAGCTATCCTCTGAACTTGCACGAAAAGAGACATAAAGTTGGGCTTGCGATGCCGGGAAAATTCTCTCGAAAATGATGTCCATATGCGAATACATTTTTGACATTAGGAAGGCACAAAGGACCCAAAGGACCTTCCTTTATTCCGCATCACGAGTATCCGGAATTCTATGCCTTCATAATCCACGTAGCCATATACTGACTGGTCGAATTCTGAGAGAGACGTCAGATTCAGCAAGCTAAAGTAGACTGTGTCTAGCCGAGCTGAGAATTAGTACGATACGGTTAAATTTATTTATGCACTGTTTTCACCTATGAAGCCACTAAGCGGGGACCTAGCTCCCCGCACAAATATTTTTTTGCAATGTTGCACATCTAGGCTGTTTCCAGTACAACTGCGTCCCCACAGCATGCTGTTGCCTAATTCATATAAACAAAAGCGAATTCTGACGTGGCATCTAAGCGAACTGTCACGATTCACTGGGCACTTAAAAAATCCCATTGGCCGTTGCATAACCCCATGCAAACAAAGCCTCCTGCGCGCTGCAGTTATCCCGGTGTACGGCGTTTTTATTTATGAGAGTGAATGACTATAAGGACGCACCACGACCGATAAAAAACTTGTTCCCTTCAATAACTTATATGAAACCATAGGTCGTTCCATTTTCAATTAGTAGGCGGATAGCAGTGAGGTCGCTCCCAGTGAGCCACAAAGGTTATACTAATTGATGACAATCGATAGTTAAAAATCTTACCGAGTGAACAACGCCGACTTTTAACTGTCGCATTCTTGAGCCAAGTTTCTGTAAGATTTCCTTCCTTAGTGGGCTGTGTTGGTCCAGTCGTTCCAAAAGCTGCTCGCCTCTGACGGTGTGAACATTCAACTCATCCAAATCAAAGGACAAATTGTGCTCTTCGAAAGTCTTCACCTGCATTAGTACGCCAGTCTTCCTCTCAAATGAGAAACGCATCCAGCTTTGACTTATCTGCCTTTCCTTCAGAATTGAGGATACGCTCCAAATGCCGGCGTCAAGTGGTTCCCCAATAGATTCACACAACAGCTTCTGCTTGTCGATGGTGATCGTCTCTTTAGCATCAAGGCGTCCCTTCTCTGGATTTATAACCTCTGCATAGAATGTATTACATCGTCCTGAGGCATCATATTCTACACTAGGTTCAAACGAGAAGCGATAGTTAAAAAGTCCAGCGACGGCCTTGACAAAATTGAGCCGTGAATCCGAAGCATTGGTCGTCGCGATAGGGGGAAGATAGAGACGCTCAACCAGACCAGATTCGTCACGATAAATCAAAGCATCCAAGGGTCCCTGTGTACCTTTGAGGTCAACAACAGTTTGAAGAAGATATCTGTTGGTCGACGCAGATACTCCAGAGGGTTTTCTTTTTTGTTGAAGGACGACTTCCCTCACCAAGACGTAGCCGTCGACTTCAGCCGAATGCAGTGAGCCCTTTGGACTGGAAAGTTTTGATGTATATGTGTATACAGCAAAATCGTCATGGATGCCAGCACCCTCGGCCGCAGCCGAGAAAAGGAGGAAAAGGATGTAGGCACAAATGGGACGCGTGCACATCCGGCAGACCACCATGAGGCACTTGAATGCCACCGAATGGCCTGTTTCGTGTGATGCTTGTTACAGCTACGCCATTGGTTAATTCAACAACCAACCAGGAAGCAGGGCAAGCTGACGATCAGGCCTAACGACCCCATCACTATGTGCGAAATCATCACTGTGCGGACGCTGGACGCCTATTGGACGCTGAACTAAGCCTACTGTCCAGGCTCCAGTGGCAGATAATTATACAAGCTATTCACATCGTCACACTTCTTTCTAAGTTTATTATATTGCGGTTTGCGGTAACTACACCCTTCTGTTTGTTTCTGTATTACGTCCCAGGTACAATCTGAAGTTTGCCGGTACTTTCTGCGAACATATCAGCATTTAATAGGGATTTGTTCCTCCACGGCCAGAGCACACTGGCAGCGTCTTTTGCCTTAACATTGTCATTTTGATCAGTGAGAAGAGCATTTTGCGAGCATGCGTAAGCTTTCGGCAAATTCTCATCGGACAAGTACATTTATTTTGGGAAGGGGCGGCGACCGGACGTCTCCTACGATTTGCCGAGGCCGCTGCAATACGCAGAGGAAGACCAGAACTCTGTAAGCAGCTGGC